CCCCCTATGTTTATTTTATCATTTCTTTATAGAAAAAAGACTTTTTTTATTTTAAGGAAACAGAGCTACTGGGGATATGCTTACAACAATAATTCCCATATACAGCAAATTTGGGCCTGGTATTATTTCATTAGATCATGGCAACATCCTTATGAGGCTGACTCAACTTCCCCAAGGTCAAACAGCTAAGAGAAGGCAGAAATGGGATTTCCAGTCTGCCCTGTGAACTCAAGACCTCCACCTAACCACATTCTGATGTGCTCATGCTCTCTTTGCGTTGCTGTGTGCGTGTGTCAACTTTAAAGGTAATGAAGAAGAGCCTGGGATTTAATTTTAGAGAAATATATTCTTGTAGCTTTTCACATGGTCTCCTTGTTTTCTTCCTGTCTGCATTCAAAAAAAAAAAAAAAGTAACCGGTGTTGCTGTCTGCCATCTACTGGCAATACTCCCAATTTACAAACAAGATGATGACAGTTTATAGCATCTCCTCCAATCCTTCTAAGTAGAGCCTACTCTCTGTCTAGACAGAGACAACTTGTGCCTGCTTGTCAGCTGTGCCTGTTTGAGCTTGTGTCTGCCCCTTTCCTCACCTAAGTCAAAATAAGTCAAGCCATCAGCTTTGCACCAGTTCTAAAGACTTTTTGATCTCATATAGTATCTCTGGCATCTCTCAGTCTTAATGCTCCATGTTCTCTTATCATGCTTAGAAGGTCTTTAGGGGTGGGGGCTGTGAGACAGGGTCTCACCATGTAGTTCAGGCTGGACTAAACTCAAATTGACTGTTTTGACTCAGCCTTTCAAGGTCTGGGATTACAGGCCTGTGCCACCATGCCCAGCAAGAAAGTCTCCTTTTTAACATCACATTAATACATAAGTTCCCTGAGTCTTTTCCCTTAGTATAATATAGAAATAATGCATTATAAAGTACAGAGTAATCTCAGGCCCATTAGATACATAATGTAAGAACTTATCTTGTCTCTCACTAGGCTTTGAGGTCTTAAAGGAAGGTAATTCCTGAAATGTCACTCAAGGTCCTTAGCAGTAGCTTCCATGTAGCTGGTGCACAAAAAATTATATAAATGTAGGGAAGGAGCCATGGCATTTACATTTCTACTGCCATCATCTGCATTTGACAACTTTTCAATAGGTTAGCAAGTAACAAGGTCAACTATATAGATGGGGACAGCAACAAGACTTCAATTTCTTGTGTTGCAATGCTCCAATTTTGCCAATTTTGGTATGCGAAGGAGCTCCCATTATCCTGTCTGCAGTTTGGTTTTTTCTTATTGCTGAGGCTGGAACATAGATACATTTTCAATGAGCATGGAAGGAGGAAGGAACAAAGTCTTGAGCAATTAATGATACTGGGAAGATCAGCATGAAATGTGCAAGAGGAAGGACAGGGACAGGATGTAAATAATGTCTTCCTTGAAATAAAGAGGCCATTCATTATGCCTCTCTGTTCAGTATTAGATTATGTTGATTCCAGCATTTCCATGGGTCAATGGACAGCTTTCCTTACCTCCTTCCTGGATTATGTAGTTTCCTTTGCTCCTCTCTGCCCTTGGCCTTCCCCAGGTCCTGACTGTGATCAGTCCTGTGGCCTGTCCTTCCTGCACTGCACAAATGAGATGTGCCAGAGTATTCTCACCTCAGCCTCAGGATTGGTGGGCATTGTTACATGGGAGGCTAAGAGAAAACAACGTCCTATACCTAAGGCATGTATCTTTGACCCTCCTATCAACACTTTTGCAAAAAAGGAAGCCCACAGTCCTCCATGAGCACTCTATAGTCAATACTGTGTTCCTATACAGACTGGAGAACTGTCTGAAGTCACTCTGGGAAAGTCTAGCCATCTTGTAGAGCAAATCAACTAGCACATTGCTTGGAAGTGGCACATTGGATATCTGAGCTCTATTTTTTAGTGAGATCATTAGGAGCAGTTACGTTGCCTCCTCTCTATCTCTACATTAGTAAAGTTGTCTGTTATGTTTCTCCTTGAAACTTTTTACTGACTCCCCTTGAATAAGAACCCTGGAGGAATATTCATAAGCAACAATCAGTTTTACCAGAAAATATCTTCTCAAGGCCAATAAGGGGCACATAGACCCTCACGTGTATTCTTCTACATACTACAACCTACATAGCTACATGCCTGTCTCATTCTGCAACCCAACCACACCTGCCCAGGATGAGGTCATGTTTTCACCCAGAGGAATGTGGAGGGGATGAGTAGTTGCAGGTTTTTACTGTCATTCCTCTTTTTAACTTGGAACCTTGCAAATTCCTGAATACAAAAAGATTTTGAGAGGATGACAAAAATCACAGCGTTCCTACATTATATACACATTTACATGTCTATGTACATAAGTAGGAGGTCAGAGAGACCCTCTCTAAACACTACTTTGATGTTATCTCTCCTTTTTGCTGCAAATGGTCCCAAGAGTCCAATTATTTCCTTTTTCTTTTAAGAAACTCTTTAAAAACCCTTCCATGGGACCCATAAGGTGCTAGTGAGACGTTAGTCTGTGGCATCAGGGTCCTGGCACAGAGTGGAAGACGGGAACCAAGGAAGAAAAGACAACTGTTGAACCCTACTTAGGTACAGACACAGGGACCCTTCCATCTACTTCTGCTTTGCTCTTTTGGGTGAGTACCATGACATACTGGAAAGTATGTTGATGATACAAGAAGAGTTGGGCAAGAATTGAACCAAATGCTCAAGTAAGAATTGTTCTTACTTCAGTTCAGTGGGAAACATGCTGTCTGCTGTTGGGATTATGCCTCTAATGTGACCAATATAGTTTCTCTACCTTAGCAATAAATACAAATTCCATGAAGACAGGCAAACCAAAAAATCTTATCAGACCCCAGTGCAGCCTCTTGGCGTTGATGTAAGGTGGTGGCAATGAAGCAGGGATGTGGAAACACGAAGAATGGAAAAGGTAACACTAAGTTCCTTTCCAAACTCTTATTTTGAATCCTCAGCATCCCAAGATAAAATTCTACTTAGATACACACATATACACTCACACCTTTGTTCACAACAGCCCTCCTTATCAGAAGATCTTCCACATTATCACTTCCCTCAGCTTTGAATCAGCCCTCTCTCTTTCCCTCTTTATCAGTGTCACAGAGAAGGAGGAATGCAGTTGATAGCTATGGAGAGAGCAGTAGTCCCTTTGAGGACTAAATTCTCAGCCAGCAGCCAGTGTTTCCCAGAGGTAAGTAAGTACCTCCTATATGTTTTTAGAGAGAATAAGTGGCCATAGAACTAGCCTTCTAGAAGGTTCTTTGTAATCCCTTCTAGACACATACCCTAATAACTTACTATTCTTGTTTGATTTTGTATTTTATAATAAAAAGCAGGAGGCTGGGGAGATGGCTCAGGGGAATAAGCGCTTCCCTGGCAAGTGCAAGGGCCTGAGTTCAATTCCCAGTTCCACCAAAAAAAAAAAAGCCT